GTATTTTATAAACATGATAATTTATTGTTACCAAAACTTAAGGTTTAGTTGTCTTTTTTTATGTTTTAACTTCGGGGGCTTTTTTTGTTTTCTTGGGGTTTTTTTTGTTTGTTTTTTATTTCTACCAGTTATACTTTTATCCATGATGACAAAAACTTCAATTATACATAATATAATATATAATACATTGTCAACGGTTTATGGGCTGGTTCGGCCTGGTTCTGTGACTAGTGGGGCAGAGGGATTTGAGGGATTTGTATGATGACATCATACATATTATTATATGTGTAAGGTTGCCTTCATGATTACTACACCTTCATAGAGCTTCTTGCAAGTGAGCTTTTTCTCAGTGCTGTGCTGCATTATGATAATCAGTCCATCAGCTTGATGAAGCACTCCTTTTCTGTCTATTCACCTTGTTTTGGTAGCACTAGTCGCACTAGTGTCTCAGGCACTAGACATCAACACCCACTACCAGTTTTGGAAGAATAAATGTGCAAGCAGAATCAGGAATTGCCCTTATGACTTTCTCTTTTAGAAACTCTTAAGTTCTCTGTTACTATATTATATTTATCTCTGAAACAGAGATATACACAAATACTCTGTTACACAATTTTCCTTGTTTTATGCAAAATGACATGTATATTTAATATATATATGTGCTTCTAGGTAAAATATATGCATTGGATATAGACATGAGTATGTGAATGTGTATTGAATATTAACTTGAATTCATTCTTGCTTCCAAGTTTTCAGCAACCTACATAGCAATGCTTGTCAGTAATACTGATTTAAGGATGGAAATGAATTGAAACCTCTAGTTTTTGACATCACATTTCACCTCATATCCACTTTCCTGCTTTCAGGCTCTACCCTGACAAAATTCTGGTGTCCTACTGAGTGGAGTGTACACTAAGTTCACAGAGTAGCTCTTATTTCTCTGAAACCTTTTCTGACAATGTGACAGGACTGTGTAGTCCTGTCAGGCACAGGCACATCTTTACAGCAGCTGGTGGATGCTATGGCCACAGTAGTTTGTATTACAGTCTTATCTAGACACACTCTTGTCTTCCAATCTATAAAATAGATTTTTTTTTTTTTTCCCCCATTAGAAATAAAGGTTTGAGGAGAAGGAAGTATCTTGGCATTCATCTAATTCTTGTCCAAGTGGAGGACTGGATCATGAAGTGAGATTTATCAATATGAATGTTACTAGCTAATCAGCATCATCAAAAAAAGATCTGCAGGACAAAGAGCTCAGGATTATGCAGAAAATGAATGCTGGAAATTCCTGGCAATTCCCCAAAAGTCAACATTAATCTAGTATGAGAATAAGAATAGAACTAGCTTATTCTAAATCTTCCACGTTAATCAGGCAAAGTCCTTTGCATTAGGATTCTCTGAAGCACATGCCTCTGGAAAATCTCTGGTGACTGTCACAGTGTAATGCAAAAAACCTCACAGCTTTTCACACTGAAGCAGCCTAATGCATAACTTTGGATTTCAATCCGGCACTTAGCTCGTGGAGCCTTTTGTACGCTAAAGTGTTGTCTGCAGTAGGGAAGGCCAGTGGCAGGAATCAAAATGTGAACATGCTTCTTGATGAACTTTTTGTACATCCATCAGAGGACATGCACTGTAAAGAGAAACATTATTCACCACTGATCTCAGCATAAGCCTCCAAACATTTGTCCATAAATTGTGCCTTTCATTTTCTGCTTTCTGAGGGACTATGCAGTGTTATGTTCAACTGAGACTGACATGCAGAAGAAAATATAAAATGGAGCTCAAGATCTTCTACAAATGCGCAGTATCACAGAATGCTGAAATCTGGGAGCAACCTCTGGAGCTGATCAGGCCCAATTCTCCTGCTGAAGAAGGGCACCATAGAGGAGGTTGCCCAGTACCAGCATCATTTGTCCAGGCATTTTTTTAAGATCCTCAAGGAGTCCACAAGCTCTTTGGGGAATGTGCGCCAGTGCTCAGTGAACCGCACAGTAAAGAAATATTTTGTGATGTTCAGCTGGAACCTCCCGTGTTCCATTTTGTGCCTAATAGTCTATTTCTGGCAGTGGGCACCACTGAAAAAAATCTTGCTCTGTCCTTTTTGTATATTCCTTTCAGATATTTACAGACATTGATGAGATTCTCCCTGAGCTTTCTCCTCTCCAGGCTAAACAGTCCTAGAGGTCTCATCCTTTCATCATAGGATACATGCTGCATTACTGTCCTCATCTTTGTGGCCCTTTGTTGGACTTTCCAGCAGCTCCATGTTTCTCCTGTACTGGGGAGCCCAAAACTGGTTGCAGTATTCCAGGTGCATCCTCATCAGTGCTATGTATAGGTGACCTATTCTGTCTTGCTGGCAACCTAGTGAAAGTAAGAAGACCATTGGGCTTTTTAGCATCAAGAGCTCATGCTAAGTCACGTTCAACTTGGTGTCGACTACGATCCCCAACACTGGAAATCTTTGATGAAAAGTCTTTAAAGTAAGATTTTCATAGTCAGCTAATGCCTGTTGTCCTGACCATTCCACTACCATTCACTTAGCAGTCAAGATCTGTAAGTTCTCATGAGCTTCTACTATTGTTTTTGTCAAGTAGTGCTCTGTAGTGCTTAGCATTTTTGTGATGTTAACATTCAGCAATGTAACAATGCTTTCCTTTTGAAATATAAGGAAACTGTAGAATATATGATGAATGAAATACCAATATTCCACTCTGTTATTGATTTTATATACCCAGAGGATGTAGCATTTAAGTAGCTAAGCACTTTTGAAAGGACTTAGTCAAGGTTTTGTCTCTTCTTTTTTCTTAGGTGCAAAAAATCAATTTACTTTCACGATCAAATAATAACATGTCCTTGAACTTATGACTTTGTTAGAAATAATAGCCACTTTTCTTCCTAGGTAAAAGTAGAAGTTTGTTCTGTTTTTTGACTGAGCATTTCCAGTACTTCTCAGTTTGTGTTGGAATGAAGAACAGTGTAAACATTATAAAAAGAACTAGGTTCAAAATGTGAACAGTGTAATTCTTAACTGCTTCTATCAAGAGTAAAGTTAATGAGTGGCTTTAGGGCTGTAAGCAAATAGTAAATTCATGTAGTCAGATCCCCTATGTTGTAGTTCAGTATATTCAAAATTTGCATCTTGTCAATAGTCTCCAATTAAAGACATCCTAAAATCTCCACTGATTGTATCTTCCAGTGGTTTCACCACCTTCCCATTGGAGGATTTTTTCAAGTTAAATATTACACCTTCAGATTCATAGCAACCAAAACAATTTAGATTAGAACACCACTAGGACAAGACATTCTTTCAATGCCAGGTATCTAATCTGACACAACTGTCTGTTTTTAAACCAAGTGTAATCTCATTACTTCAACAGGGAATTGCTTAGTACTTACTGAAACCATTCATCTTGTGTTCCTGTGCTCTATTAAGTTTAAGAAAGTAGTTGCAAAACAAAAAAAAAATTGATATAAAGGGAAGGCTTTCCTCTGTTTTCAAGTTTTAAAGAATACTTTTATTTTTTTAGATCTGCTCAAAGTGAAAGAATTGCTAAGGTTTTAGTTCATGGCTATGTATATTTTTCATGAATAGCTGAAATAGGTTTTGATAATTTTATTTTTTTATTTTTTTTCCCAGATAGGCAAAATGCCGTACTGCATAAACTGAGTTCACATATCTAGGAACTCTTCTGGATTAGGAGTCAAATATGGAACTTAATAATGCATTATGCCAAACTCAGACTTAACCAATACGATAAAATATATAGCTGAGCATAAATCAAAGATTGTATTTGTTGTACTAGTAATACTTTGTGAAATCAGAATAACAAATCTTTTAAATGGCAATCTTTAGCATTAAGGTAGACTACATTATAGCATACATTTGTTACAGTTTCAGATTAAATATTAATACATTCAGCATATAAAAACTTAAAGCATTATCAAATAGCTATATTAATGTATCACTATAATATGCCCTTCAGCACTGTAGAGAAAGCGTGCGATTTTGCTACTTCAGAACAAAAAATTAATACATTTGCACAAATCAATTTTAAATTAGAGGCAAATAGATAAATAAACCTGTCTTTGTTAATCAAATGTGAAAATTTGTTTATATAATGTATGGTATCATAAAACTAGAGAGGGATTTAATATATCTGGTTGAATTGCACATAAGTTGCTCCAGAAGTAATGCGTCCTATTTACTTCCATGGAAACTACAATAGATGCAAAGAACATAATAACACTCTTAGATAGATCAAATTCTCAGTTACAAAACACCATTTTTCAACAGCCACCACCATTAGTTATGTATTTTGCTAAAATAAGAGAGAATTAGGTTAGGAGCAAAGTCATTACTCAGGGACTGGTGAGAGAGTACAACAGGCTGCCCAGAGAAGCTCTGGGTGCCCTGTCCCTGATGGTGTTCAAGGCCAGGTTGCAAGGGGTCCTGGGCAGCCTGATCTGGTAGCTGGCAACTCAGCCCATTGCAGGGGGTTGGGACACAGTGATATTTGAGTTTCCTTCCATCCCAAGCCAGTCTATGATTCTGTGATTCCCATAATTGTATTCAGATAATAGGATGTGTTACTTATTCACTTTCTGAGATCTGTACAAGCTCTTTAATGTCTCTGGTTTTCTTAATAAACTTAATTTTGTATCTAATATTTAACATTAAAAGTTACTTTTGTGATTAAATGATATCTTTTGAACTCAACTGTGGACCTGGATCAAATTACTAAGTTCAGAAGAAAATGTTCTTTAAATATTTTGCTAAAATTTACTTTGTAACAAAATCAGTTATCTCAGACAGTTACACTGCTGAAATGTAGAAGATCATAAGGGTAATGCATTCTGTTATTCAGGCTTACAATATTTTGATACTGGAGAGATGCTTTAGTTTGTTTTTTTCAATTTCATAACTAACATTGTAATAGATAAAAAAAGGTAGCCAATTTTATATACATTATCTTATTATTGTGTCTCATCAGGTGCTACAACTATTGAAAAGTATGATCTCAGAACAAATATATGGATCCAGGCTGGAGTGATGAATGGCAGGAGGCTTCAATTCGGTGTTGCTGTCATCGATGACAAGCTGTTTGTCATTGGAGGCCGTGATGGTTTAAAGACATTGAACACTGTTGAATGTTACAATCCAAAGACAAAAGCTTGGACTGTGTTACCACCAATGTCAACACATAGGCATGGTTTAGGTAAGGAAAAAAAAAGTTCTAAAAATCTAACACAGTTTTTCAGATAAGTAAATGATAATGCAAAATTTAAGTTTCTATAGCTATCATATCACATTCATCAGTATCAATAAAGATTTATATTGTGCTTGTTAGATCACTAAGAATGTAAAGAATAAGACACTTTTTTGTGATTTAATGATGTATGAAAACTTAAGAAAAGACAAGACAGCAAAAGAAACAGAAACTTTAAAAGATTGGTGGCAGAATGGCAAGGGTTGGAAGGGACCTCAAGGATCATGAATCTCCAACCCTCCTGCCACATGCAGGGCCACCAACCTCCACATTCAATACGAGACCAGGCTGCCCTGGGCCCCATCCAGTCTGGCCTTCAACACCTCCAGGGACAGGGCATCCACAACTTCTCTGGGCAGTCTGTTCCAGCACCGTGCCACTTTCTTTGTAAAGAGCTTCCCCCTGACATTGAACCTAAATCTCCCCTCCCTCAACTTCAAACCATTTCCCCTTGTCCTGCAGTTATCGACCCTTACAAAGAGTTGATTCCCCTCCTGTTTGTAGGCTACCCTTAGGTACTGAAAGGCTCCAATGAGGTCACCCCACAGCCTTCTTTTTCCAGGCTGAACAAGCCCAGCTCCCTTAGCCTGTCTTCGTAGGGGAGGTGCTCCAGTCCCCTGATCACCTTTGTGGCTCTCATCCCCCTCTCCAATAGATTTCTGTCTTTCTTGTACTGGGGGCTCCAGACCTCGACACAGTACTCCAAATAGGGCCTCACAAGAGCAGAGTAGAGGGGGACAATCACCTCCATGTCCCTGCTGGCCACATCTCTTCAGATGGAGCCCAGGATACCATTTGCTTTCCGAGCTGCAAGGGCACACTGCTGGCTCATGTTAAGCTTTTCATCTGTCAGGACCCCCAGATCCTTCTCTGTGGGTCTGCTCTCAAGAACCACTCCTTCCAGTCTGTCTAGATGCCTGGGATTCCTCCGGACCAAGTGCAAAACCTTGCACTTTGCTGTGTTCAACCTCATCAGGTTCACCCAGGCCCACCTTTCTAGCCTGTCAAGGCCCCTCTGAATGGCATCCCTTCCTTTCACTGTGTCAAGTGCACCACTCAGCTTGGTGTCATCAGCAAACTTGCTGAGGGTGCACTTGATTCCATCATTGATGTCATTGATAAAGATGTTAAAGAGCACTGGTCCCAAGACAGACTCCTGGGGGACGCCACTCATTACTGGCCTCCACCTGGACATACAGCCATTGATGACCACCCTCAGTCTGCAGCCTTTCAACCAGTTTCTTAGCCGTCGAGTGGTTCACCCATCAAATCCACATCCCTCCAATTTGGAGATAAGGATGTGGTGGGGGATCATGTCAAAGGCCTTTCTCAAGTCCAGGTAAATCACATCAGTCACCTTTCCCTTGTCCACCAATGCCGTCACTCCATCATAGAAGGCCACCAGACTGGTTAAGCATGACCTTCCCCTGGTGAAGCCGTCCTGGCTGTCTCAGATCACAAGCTCATTCCACATGTGATCAAAAATGTCATTCAGGAGGATCTGTTCCATGATCTTCCCAGGCACAGAGGTGAGACTCACCAGCCTGTAGTTCCCCGGGTCCTCCTTGCTCCCTTTCTTGTAAATGGGAGTGACGTGACCCTTCCTCCAGTCATCCAGGACCTCACCTGACAGCCACGATTTTTCAGATACGGCGGAGAGGGTCTCAGCAACCAACTCAGCCAGCTCTTTCAGAAGCCTTGGATGCACGTCATCTTGCCCCACACACTTGTACACATTCAGTCTCATGAGGCATTCTTGAACTTGCTCTGCCTTTACAGCTGGGGGGAACTTACCATCCCAGTCCCCACCTAGAGGTTTAGGGATGCCAGGCTCAGAGACGTGAGAAATACTAGAATTCTGGCTGCCAGTGAAGACTGAGGCAAAGAACTCATTCAGTACCTCAGCCTTCTTTTTGTCCTTTGAAGCCAGTTCTCCTTTTACATTTACCAAAGGAGGTACACTCGCTTTGGCCTATCTCTTCTGGCCAATGCACCTGTACAATGTCTTCCTATTGTTTTTCACGTCTCTCACCAAGTTCAGTTCCGCCTGCGCCTTGGCTTTCCTGACCCCATGTCCGCAAGTCCAGATGGCATCCCTGTATTCTTCTCAGGTGACACGCCCTTGTTTCCAGAGCTTGTATGCACCTTTCTTTGCCCTCAGCATGCCCATTAGGTCCTTTCTGAGCCATTCCGGTTTCCTACCTCCTCTGCCCGCTTTCTTGTTCAGAGGGATGGAGAGCTCTTGTGCTTTCAGGAAGGCATCCTTGAAGAGTAGCCAGCTCTTCTCAACATCTTTGTTTTTAAAGACAGCATCTGAGGGGATCTTGGCCAACAGTCCATTGAACTGTTTTAAGTTCACTCTTTCAAAGTTCAGGGTCCTGACATCATTTTTTTTCCAGGCTCACATCCCTCAAGATCACAAACTCAACCAGGGCATGGTCACTGCAGTCCAGGCTGCCTCCAACCTTAATGCCTTTAATGATATCTTCAGCATTGGTGAGCTTCAACTCTGGTCAGTCTGTCCGATACCTGGACCAGAAAGTTATCATCAGTGGATTCCAGGAGCCTCCTGGACCTCTTGCAGCTCGCTGTGTGGTCTTTCCAGGAGATATCAAATGGTTGAAGTCCCCCATCAGGACGAGAGCCTGTGAGCACGAAGCCTTTCACATCTGAAGCAAGAAAGCCTCATCCACAGTCTCCCCTCGATCAGGTGGCATGTAGTATACCCCTATCACCAGCTGGCCTTTGCTAGACCCATCCCTAATTCTAACCCACAGGCTCTCAACCTGTTCCTGACTGTTTCTCAGAGGGAGCTCCTCACGGCCTATCCACTCTTTGACAGAGTGCAACTCCCCCACCCTTCCTACCTCACCTATCTCTTCTAAAGAGCCAGTATCCCTCAATGACAGCATTTCAGTTATAGCAGTCATCCCACCATGTTTCTGTGATAGCAACAAGGTCATAACTTTCCAAGTGCCCCATGGTTTCCAACCCATCCTGCTTATTTCCCCAGCTATGTGCCTCGGTATAAAGGCACTTCAGCTGGGCTTTCTGTCTCACTGCTTTCATAGAGGATCTAGGATCCCATAGAACAGCAGCATCCCCAGCATCCCCATGCTGCAGTCCATCCCTTTGTATTCCACCATCTCCGCCCATCAAGTTTGGTATGAGCCCTTGAACGACCCACTCCACCCTAGTGGCACTCTTTTTGTCTCCTTCCCCTGAGGCTTTTCTTAGCAACTTGCAGTCACTGCAGCCTGAACTGTCAATAAGGGATAATAATCAGAAGCGCGAATCAGTCCAGCAAGTTTCCTAGAAATGTCCCTGGTCTGTGCCCCAGGGAGGCAGCACACCTCCCCACGGGTAAGGTCAGGCCAACGTATAGGGCCTTCCATTCCTCTCAGCAGGGAGTTGCCTATGACAACCACCCTTCCGTCCTGCTGGGTGGAGGTAGTCTTGAGGCTTAGGGTTGACGACTTCACCAGAGGTAACCTCATGGATGGATCTCCCTCCACACCCTCACTCACCTCTCCCTCGACTTCCAGGGACTCAAACCTATTGCGCAGAGGCACATGGGGAGCCAAGTATGGTCGGGATGAGGGATGTCCACTTCGCCAAGCTGGTATCTGTTTCCACTCCTCCTCCTTTCTCAAACTGTTGCTAGGAGGAGGAGAAGACAGAAGGCTCACTGCAGCACTGTCTGCCTGCCGGTTCCCCTCTCCCACCTGTTTGCAAGGCAGCAGGGGGTGACATGCTCCATGCGGAGCCTCAGCTGTGTGCCAAAATCTCAGGGCCAATAGGGACTGGCAAATCAGTCTGTCTCTCACACTCTGTTACGGTCCTCAGACTTTCCACCTCCTCCTTCAGGTCGACCACAAGGCTGAGTAAGTCATTTACTGATCACATCTTATACAAGTGCTGCCTCCATCGCCCTGCACTGCAAAGGCCGGGCTCTGGCACTCATGACAGCCAGTGACCTGCGTACTAGCATCTTGTGTTGAGGCCTCAGTCTGAGTCTCCACACTTGTCTTAGCAATCCTTAGCAATCAGCAATCCTTTCAAGCATGCACAGGACCTCAGTCTCCATGCTCTTTTTGGCTGCAGTCTTCTTTGTGCATGAGCATGGGACTTCCATCTGGGTCTCCACAATATTTGTGGCGGTAGCCTTCCACTGGGGTGCAGCCATTGCAAACCAGCAGGCACACTAGCAGCACTAGATGGCCTTAGGTGTGACTGATCAGCCCCGCCCTGCTGCCGGCAGCGCTGGCTCGGCCCTCTCGCCGTTGCCGGCTCGTTAACAGGAGCCCTCGCACTCATTACTCACCTGAGAGCGATAACAACCATCCTCGCTGTGTAGTCCCGTGTATGGCTGGCTTACAGTTTCTCCTCATTAAAATAGCCCAGGCGATTCTCACACCTCAATTCCTCCTCTGTCCTTGAGGCTTTTTGTAGGCGAGGGGAGTGAGCTCAGAGCCATTGCCCTGGCAACGCCCCCGCCGCGTCAGCTGCTCTCGCGAGAACTGCCCGGCTGAGAGCTGTCCAGCCGCTCTGTTGTGTCGCCGATCCCTGAGTGAGGGAGCCGACCGAAACCCCGTGTAGCTCGCGGTCGGTCGCTGCGGTTCTGGCTGGAACAGCTCTGAAGCAGCGAACCTCGGCGATGAAGCTGTTTCAAAGTATTATATTTTTTCTGTTACACAACATGATAGGAAATATGCTCATGAGTATACACATTATGTCAGTAATGAACATAATGCTTTACGTAATGCTTTATATGTTTCACAATATAATAATTATAAATATAATAATGTATTAATAATATAATATAATAATATAATAATAATATAATAATATAAATTATATTAATAAATAAATAATAAATTAAAATAAAAATAAATAAAATAAATAATGATAATAAAATAATAAAAATAAATAAATAATATAATAATATA